AAAAGGGCTTAACAGGCAAGTAAGCACCATTTTCACACAAAGCAAGCACTGAACAAAGCTGTGATGCCCCCCCCCCTGCCAAATAAACAAGCAACAAACCTCCCTGCTATTGATTCTGACTCCCAGTGACCCACAGGATAGGGCAGAACTGCCCCCGGTGGGTTTCCAAGACTGTAATTCTGCAGGAAGGGGCAAGCCTCATCTTTCTCTGGAGAAGTCGCTGATTTCAAATCGCTGATCTTGTGCTTAGCAGCCCAATGCATAACCACTATGCCATCAGGGCTCCCAGCAATGTATATTTGCTGAGCACCTATTTTGTACTCAAAATATTCCTTAGCCTGGGGAGCTAATTCTTTGGGATATATGCCTATAATTGGAATGGCTGGATCCTGTCGTGAATTTCAAATCCACTAGTTGCTCTGCAGGAGGCAGACGAGGCTTTCTGTATTAGTGGAACATTTACAGCCTTGGACATCAACAGAGACCGTTCTACTCTGCCCTCTGGGGGCACCATGAGTTGCAATAGACCAGATGGTAGTGAGTTGAGCACGGTCATCAACATTTTGAGGAACCGCTATAAAATGACTAGCCCATTTTACATGCAGCTCTGGTGGTGTAGTGGTTATGTATTCAGCTGCAATCCATGTGGCTGGCAGTTTGAAACCACTGCAGCTCCATGGGAGAAAGACTGGGCTTTCTACTCCCGTAAACAGTTACAGTTTCGGAAACCCACAGGGGTCACTATGAGTCAGCATGGAATTGGTAGCAGTGGGAGTGAGAGAGAGTAAATCTGGAAAATTGAATTCTTAATTTTACTTAACTTTAATAAATTTAAATTTAGATAGCCACATGGGACTGATGGATTTAAACCAAAGATGCTTCTATGAGTTTCAGGAAGAAAAATGTCCTTGTTTTGTATTGATTCTAAATCAAGAATTTATTTAAATACTGAAAAAGTCTGAAAAATCTGTAAGTTGGCAGGATCATAGTTAAATAAATAAATAAAAAGTTTAAAACCTAGGATTGAATTTCCTTTGCTGGCCTGGCTTAATTGAACACAACAACAACAATGAAAGATGCACACAGGCAGACCATTTTATTGCACTTGGCAGATACTGCCTTTTAAAATTTTTATTTAAACAAAATGAAGATTTATGACCACCATGAACCTAGCAAGTTTTTTTTTTTAAAGACTCACTTCTACAGAGTAAATTCTGACTCATAACAACCCTAGAAGACAGGGTAGAACTGCGCCTGTGAGTTTCCCAGACTGTAACGCTTCATGGGAGTAGAAAGTCTCTGTCTTTCTTCCACAGAGCGGCTGGTGGTTTCAAACTGCTAACCTTGGTGTTAGCAGCCCAACGAGTAGCCACTATACCACCAAGTCTTAAGGCATCATTTATTCAACAACCTGTGCCCCCTCCCCCCACCCCTTCTTGTCTGTGTCACAGTTTGTTCATTCTCACCGTATTTTAGACTTTTTCCACAATGCTATTTGCACACTAACTAGGATACAGTATAGTGTAAGCTCTAGAAACCCCTAAATTCATGTGACCTGCTTTATGGCGATATTCCCTTTATTGAGGGTGGTCTGCAAGTGAACCCATAATATCTCCCAGATAGACCTGTATGTAATTGGAGTATGTGTGGTTGCTTTTTAAAGATTAGTACTTATTGTTCAAAGGAAATGATCCAATGTTCAAAGGAAATGATCCAAGGTGCATATATTTATCAACATTATTAAAAGACATTTAAATGGCTACTGCTTTGCTAATGATGGCTCATTCATTTACTTTATGCCTACAATCTGCCAAGCACTTTGCGTGGTTTATTATTCTCTTACTATACTACAGGAAAAAATACTCCCCAAATGACAATATTTAACTTGATGCATTAAAAGTGATTTGATTTACAGTTATAACGGTGTCGCTTTTGAGTTGGGAAAGAATAGATCCAAATAATATTCACTGTTTTGGATTTGACTGTAAACCCCCAAACCCAAATATGTAGAGGCTTTAAAATGCATACCATTTGCCTGCAGAAAATAAAAACAACAATAAATACATACCTTTCCGGCAGGTATATATATGACAAGTACTTAGAAAAATATACATGAACGTTTTGTAGAAGAAATATTTTATTAGAATTCATTCTCTTCAATCGGAATTTAAGCGAAGATTTCTTAAGAAGCCATTGGAAAACCTTTGATTAAAACCAGATCCATCTCACTTAGTTGAGGCTTTCTGGTCCTATGAAAATGAACAGCCTCAGAAATCCACAAGGGCCACTCTGCTCTGTGCTAGAAGGTTGCTATAAGTTAGAATTGAGTCAATGGCAGTAAGTTTGGTTTGGAATTATTTAGTTCTACTGCAATATGACATTATATATATTATATAAAAACACAAAATTATATATATATGAAAATCATTTATGAATTATATAGTTTGGGAACAATCATTAATTCTTTCAACAAATATTTAGAAAGTACCTATTGTGTGGGTACAAGATTTGACATCAAAATGTTAAATTCTGGATGACCAGGAATGAAATCCAGGGAGCACATTAGATTGCACAGAGATAGAATCGTCATCAGTTATCTCAGAGCCCTAGCTGGCTCAACTGATGGACTCATGGCAGTAAGGTTTTTGTTGAGATGTTATACCTACTCATTGCCAACAAGAGACCCTATAGAACCAAGAAGAACTGTCCCTGTGGGTTTACGAGGCTGTAAATCTTTACATCAACAAAAATTAGTGCAGCAATTAAAGCAAAACGACCTTGAAAGTACTTATTGAACACTCTAAGTGGGCCTCGTTTGAAAAGTCACAAGCACGTGGGGTTATGACATCATGTTAAAAATAAATTTTGGAAGGCTAGAACATCATATTCAAGATATAACCTCACTTTTGCAAAGTAATAGATACATTAGCAAAGGGATCAATGTTAAGAAATTCACCCAAACTTCTGGCCAGTCTTTGTAATACTTTTATATGTTCTCCAGACTTCCTATGCTAACTTCACATATGTTCATAATTCGTAAAAATCATATATATAACATAGATTGCAATCTGGACCATTCTGGCAACTGTTCCTAGAATTAGTGTATATGCAACAGGACTCATTTCAGAGGGTTAACGTAGAAGGCCCAGGGGTCTACCCAATTCGCTAATGACTAGAAACGCTTTACGAAATGACAAAGATTTGCACTTTCTAAAGTTGAGGTTTAAAATGAATATTCTTGGAGGGAAAGGGAAAATAGAGATTTGTTTCCAGGCTAGAAACAACTGGGAATGGTCGTTTGTAGGAAAGGCCTCTAAGGCCTGGTCGGTTCCCTGGATAGATGCAGTTTAGCCCTCTGGTAAGGCCTGCGTCTGTACACCATCTATGTCTAAACATTCAGCAATGAGTACTTAAAGCCTGGGACTAAACACTCTATCATGTTGAAAAGCAAGGCTTTTTTCTAACTGTGAAAAAATGGTACAACATCCTTGGTGGAAACCCCTCAAAATATGCACAAGCCAGGAAACAGGATCAAAATCATCTAGAATCTCATAACCCAGAGGCAACTGCCATTAGCATTTGGTATATAACCTAGTAATGTGGGTAATAGTTTTATAAAATCAGAATGATCCTGTATGTTGGTTCCTGTATCTATTGCTTAATATTTTATCCTGAATCTCTTCTTACGTCATTAAATATGCCTTGTAAGCATCATTAGATTGTGTGCTCACTAACTATTACTGATGGCTTTTTAAAAAATCCACTTTAAAATTTTTCTTTTTTTACTATAGTTTTATTGGGATATAATTCACATATTTTTCACTTTAATTGTTCAATTTTATCATGACGATTTGGGCAATCTGTTATCACCACATTCAATTTCAGAACATTCTCTTCTTGTGCTCATGGGCGTTAGTTCCTCAGTTCCCCCCATCCTCTCCTGCCACGCCCCTAGGCGAAAAATCCCCTTTCTTGATAAGCAAGAGTAAGGCCTGTACCATGGACACCACCTGTAAGAACGAATTCAAAACGTATCTGGTGCTTGAAAGACTAGCCAAGAGTTTTTTTTCTGAATTAGTGAGCTTTCCTGTGTCTAGCCGACATGCGGATTTTGTCTGCAACCATGTTTTTTCTGCTCAAATCCCCCAAACTCTCCTAGGACGACAACGCAACAACTCAACGCAAACATTCTCTAGGAGGAATTGGGCTTAGAAAAAAAGACCCGGCCGAAGACGTGTTACCGAGGAAACCCAACGCACGGCCTAAAGGTCCCTTCGGACTCCTAAGGGCCCTCTGGGCTGAGGAGAGCTGCCACTGTGGGCCTCCATGGCTGTCCAGCGTTCGGAGAAAGACCACCAGGTCGGTCGCCCGGGGAGCAGCTGGTGGGTTCGAACCACCCACCTCGCCCCCAGGACTCCTTTAGAAAACTACAATGACGCAGTAAATCTGCCGTTCCCCACCCCACCCCCACCCCCAATTTGTAAGCAACTCAGGGCCTCCGACCCCGGCCCGACGTGCCGAAGCAAGGCCAGGCCATCACCCCGAGCTGAAAGGAAAACCTCAAGCCCGATAGACAACCTCCATCCCCAGACCCGCAACACCGAGGGCAGTTTTTGCGTAAAACCCCCTCCGGCTTCTTTCCAAACGGCGTCAGGTAACATGGCTGCGCTTTTCCCACAACCCCCCACCCCCACCCCGCCAACAGTTAACTTCGGAAGCTCTAGCCAATAAGTCGGTGCAGGCCTGCCTCTAGCAGCCCCCCACCCCCTAAAGCACCTCACCAAAAACATATCCGCATGGCAGGTGTGAGGGAAAGCCCGGACTATTCTTTTGCCCTCAATCTACGCGTCCTCACTCCTCTGAGGCACGGGGTGGGCTGGGGGGCCGCGCCAGGCCGGGCCCGGGGAGATGGAGTGGCTGGGAAATGTGGGCAATTTCAGTTCACCAGGAAGACTCCATCGCCCGGGCTCTCGGGAGGGGGTCGGCGCCCCTTTCCTTACCTGCGAGGCGGCTGAGGAGGAGGAAGGCCAGCAGGCGTGCGGACGCCATGGTGGGAGGTTCGCGGAGAGCAGCTCGCCTGGACGAGGCCGGCTGCACACTGCCTTCCGTGTGCCCGCGCAGCGAGGCTGCCCGCCTTATCTGCTGGGCATCACCGGGCAAACAAGCCGCTGGAGGCTGCGAGGCTGCGTCGTGGGCACAGACCTTTCTCCTCGGTTTCTTTGAAACATTTTTCGTGGGGCGTGTATCCTTGATATATTTGCAACTGTGTTAATGATAAACCCCCGGATTTAAATTCTTTGAGCTCTTTGTACACGGTTTTCTTGGTTTGTTTGTTTTTTAAAGGGGGGGAAACGATCTTATTGAAAAGTTTTGCTCGAGGGGAAAAGCTCCCCTTCGAAGAGAATGGATGCCCCTAAAAGCGGACTAGGCTAATGAAGCTCAAATATGCCCCAGGCTGGACGCCCTGGCCCCTCCCTCCCTTTTGCTAATTAGGTTAGTAAATGGGTATTTGAAGGGTTCCTCCTGAGGGGGGGGTTGCAGGAAGGGCACAGAGTTACAGAGCGGAAAAAAGAAACCATTTCGGTGTGAACCCATGTTGGACGGCGTCACACTTTTTGGAAGAACAGCTTTCCCCCCAAATTGTCAGTAGAATTCATTGCACGCTTGGCTCCTCCAGGTTAGAAACCTTACAACAGTTATTCTCTCCCCTAATTTTATAAAATCGGATAAGTGAATACATAGATGGTGCATGAAGACGTCCATCAGATGAATCTGAATTATTGCAGAATTGAGTGCTCGAGGGTTTTCTTGAAAGGGGGGTTCATGAGGCTGTAGAGCTAGGTTTTCATGTGCCTGTGAATTTCTAGGAGAGTTCTTCCAGGCCTCATTAGCTGGAGAAACACAAGGATGCCTCTGGCTCATCCCATATGCCAGCTCCTGTCAAGGCCACTTCTACAATCGCTCTCAGATTGGACCTTCTCTAGTTTCCTGCTTCCGCTCGAGCCCAGGCACTCAGCCCCTCATCCCTACAGTAAGAGCTTCATAAACGATCTTCCCAACGTCTTCCTCCTTCGCCCCGTGTGCTTGGCCCAGACCAAGGTTCTAACCCTGAATGAGCATCTTCACTAACACCCAATATGGACTCTTTCATCAAATCCTTATCTGAATTCCAGGCCTTCTGCGATCTGATCTGTACTTGAGTCACGTTTAAATTCATCCACCTGAAAACTCCTGTTAAGATAGATTGCCTCAAAGTGTTCAGTCACATGAAGAATGTGCAAGTTGCAAGTGATAGGTTTTATGGAGTTTAATTTACAGGAAATATTTGACCCCACGCTAATTTGCCACTACTTTTCAGAAAGACATTTTACTCCTGTCAGGCATGCTTCCTTCTTGTCCTCGACCCTCCATGTTCACATTTGATGCTTAAACCTTGGCTCCAGGTGGCTTCCATCTCCATTAAGAACTTCTGCCTTCCTCTTCTTGCTACCCAAGTATATTCTTGGTGTTGATCACCCGCGCTCTCCCATGTGACTATCATACTGAGCCTACCGGCCAGTCCTCTCTGACGATGAGCACTGCGAGGACAGGGACCAACTTTTATTCCTAATTGAGAAAGGGTATAGCCCCGCAAAATGTATTGGGCTTAAGAAGACACCTTTCTACAGAAACAATCCTATATATAGACGGCTCATTCCCAGACATATGTCATGCGTAGTCTAGCCCTGGCTGGAGTCTGAGTGCTGAACCACATAAGGCAGGGCAGGAGGGGCCAGAGAAAGAAATTCCTTTTCCTTTCCCAAGACTCGATTGAACATAAAGAAACTTAACTTTCCCCAAAAAGCAATGAGCGGATTTCAAACAGTTTGTATGAGTTTCATAGGATATGTCTTTGACACGCATCTTCTTTTCTATACTTTCTAAGGGCTTCTTGTGTCCTTAGTTTGCCCTAAGGAAGGCCCTGGCTGTTGTTCTTGGTGTTAAGTCAGTTCCAACTAAAAGTGACCCTCTGTACAACAGAACAAAACGCTGTCTAGTCCTGTGCCAGCCTCATAATTGTTCTGATGCTGGAGACTATTAGGAAGGGCCTTCGTACCAGAATATCGCATGGTCCCAAATCATGTTTTCCTTTCCATCCTGATTCCTCCCAGAAATACCCTCCCTCCTCTGTACAAGCAGTTATCAGCCCCGTATTAGGAGGACGGAAGCCGACTTAAAGGGGTGTTCCATCAGCACTCGACAATCTGCTTGCACTGTTGAAACTAGAGCTCTATTGCACCAACTACATTTCTGACTGTGAGTTTCATACAAGGCAATAAAGAGACATCATCTAAGAATGATCTTTGACGGAGGAGGGCTCCTGTAGGGTGGTCCTTTGGAGATCCATACCAACCTTTTCCTGTCTTGGATCTATCTTTACTTCGGAGTCCACGGAGTCTCCAAAAGGCCCAAGATTTTCACGGAAGTACCACTGGTGCATACGTTTGAAGTGTATTTGCTGGTCTTCCTTCTAGTGTATGGATGTTATCCTATCATCACAGACAGGATGTACTTCAGCATTGAGCTTGAAATATTCTTTTTGATGATGAATGCACGTCATTTCTCTTCAGTTTGGTCATGCTGTCAGAGTAGACTATATCTGACTCGAGTCCCTTTCAATCCACTAATGCCTAGGAAATCTATCTTCCACCATTCCATCTCACCTTATGACTTCCAATTTTTCTAGATTCATACTTCATACATTCTACATTCTGAGTATAAATGGCTACATGCAATAACTCTCCCCAATAGGATTTTGAGTGCCTTCTAACCGGAGAAGCCCATTTTCTGGCACAACCTCAGACAATGTTCTGGTGCTATTTATAAGGTTTTCACTGACTTTGTTTTTTTAAGTAGATAACCAATTCTTCCTTGTCTGTCTTAGCCTGTTCCTATTAGCTCGGCTGAAATCTGTCCACTATGAGTGACCCAGCTGGCATTTAAAATATCAGTGACATGACTTCTAGCATCACATCAACATGAAAGCCATCCAAGTACAACAAACTGACAGGTGACTGTGGACAGTTATTATTAATAATATAGAAAATAATACTCCGACAATACTAAACCACAGACGATCCAATAGAATAGAGGGCTAAGGCTGCAAGCATGAAATTCACATTTGGCCCGGAAACCTACGAAAAAAACTCCCCCTCAGAGAACTGTAACTTCCAACAACTATGAAATACCAGTTTTCACTCATGATATTAATTGTACTACTTAAAAAACTGAACATTTTCACTGCTGACAAGGTAGTGAAGCAGGCACTTTTGCACACTTTTGTTGCTATTGAAAAATACAGATTTTTAACACAACTACCAACTCAAGATGTTTCATGTATACAATTTAGTGACACTAATTACATAAATCCCGTTTGTCCAACCATTATCAGCATTCATTGCCCAAATCTCCATCACCAGGAACAGAAGCTCAATGCTTCCTGATTCACCCTTTCCCCTTCCATCTTTCTTTGGTCAACCAATAAAATTGGAGGCCTAGATTGCGAAACATTTCTGGTGGAAAATTTTGCAGAATATATTTTTTAAATTAAAATATTCATATCCTCTCACCCATTAATTCCATTTCGAAGTAACTAAGGAGGGCAGCAGTGCCTCCGCAGTAAAATGTTCACTTTCTAGGCAGAAGACCTGTTTTATTCCCAGTCAATGCACCTCCAGAATGGCCACCATGTATCAGTCAGTGGAGGCTGCATGTTACTATGACTCTGAATAGGTTTATGCAGAATTTCCAGACTAAGACAGGCTAGGAAGAAAGGCCTGGCAATCTACTTTCAAAAATCAGTCGCAAAAACCCAATGGATCACAATGGTTCGATCTCATTGTTTATACTGCTGCCGTGAGTTGCAGGCCAACTGGATGGCAGCTAACAACAGTCTACATCAGGGGTTCTCAACCTGTGGGTTGTGACCCCTTTGGGGGTCGAATGACCCTTTCACAGGGGTCGCCCAATTCATAACAGTAGTAAAAATTACAGTTATGAATTACCAATGAAAATAATTTAAAAAAAAATAAAATAAAAAAGAAAATAATTTTATGGTTGGAGAATCACCACACATGAGGAACTGTATGAAAGGCTTGTGGTGCTAGGAAGGTTGAGAACCACTGGTCTACAGGAATAAGCACAGTGGGCAAAGATATAGGTAAAAGGATGTCAATTGCACTATTCTTTATAATAGTGTGAAATGGGAAGTGGCCTAAGAAATGATCAATAGCAGGATAGTTCATTAAGTTTGGTACACCCATAGTATGAAATACCATGCCAATCTTAAATTAGATATAGTAGCTCTGTACAGGTACATGGCAACATCGAGAAATTTTAAATAATTTTCGAGGGGAACACAAGCAAAGTATGGAATAATATGCATAATATAACTCCTTCATGACCAAGGCATGTGTGTGTGCATAACAAAAGGTCTGAGAAAAATGATTAGCTGCTGTTGCTTGTACGAATCGGTATAGTGATAACCCTACTTAGGAGAAAATGGGGAATTCCTTTTTCTCTCTCCATACAGCTCTGTTCTTTACAATATTTTTGCTATCACAGTGTATTCCTTTTGTACTTTTCAAGTACAAAAAGGGAGAGCGGGAGAGAGAGCAAAAGCCGAGTATCACATTTCTGAACGTTCCCACACAAATTTCCTGAGGGAGGAAGAGTGGGGGAGGGAGGGGGAAAATGAGGAGCAGATACCAAGGGCTCAAGTAGAAAGACAATGTTTAGAAAATGATGATGGCTACAGACGTACAAATGTGCTTGACACAATGGATGGATGGATGGATTGTGATCAGAGCTGTAAGAGCCCCCAATAAAATGATTTTTTTAAAAGTATCCTGGTGTCAGTGCCATATTGCTTACTGTGATGGGAGGGACAGCTAGTGCCTGATGCTAGCTGTGTGGCCTTGGGAAAGACACAACGTTTCTGAGCCTCCGTTTTTCTTATACATAAAATGTAGATAATGCTTGACCTAATTCTCTCCCTTGAGAAGACGGGCAGGAAATGCAGTTAGAAAATTACAAAGCTCTGCAAATATGTGAGGGATTTTTAATAATATTTTATGTG